TAATAGTATAATGTAAATTATGTATAAAGCTAATGGCCCATGTCGCCAAAGCTATAAAGATCAATAAAAAAAAAAAAATAAAAAAAAAAAATGTTTGCATCCATTATAATGGACATTGAATAATTGTTTTGATTTTTTTTTCACACTTGACTTAGGAAATGGTAAACACACTAAAATTCGTCCTAACTAAATCCATTAATTTTTTTTTCAATGGTTAAAAACATACGTAAGAATACACATGTTTTATTAAAATTATACGACAATAATATAATAACTTAATTCGTCGTTTTGAAATATGTACCTTATAATAAATAAGTTAATATTTACAAACATTAGCGACGAAGGCAATTAATTTGGATTGTAAACTGAACAATATTGAGAAAAGTTTCACTTACCACTGTAAGTGTGTAATTCGAATGCTGCCAGTGGGCCTTCGGTGGATGAACAGTTTCCATTCCTGCTATCAATTAGTATCTTCCATCCTGGCAACGATCCTGTAGGTTGAGCGATTGCTTGTGCCGCCAAATCTACGGATGGCAAAATGGCGCCCAGCGTCTCTTCGTTCTTGGATGCTTTCAATGGTGCTATGACCGCAAATCGAACCACGCCAGGCACTGCAGTGGACGTTACCCACTCGGAAAATACCACTGCGCCCACTAACACCCATACCAATGCACCCATATTTGCGACAAGATTTTTTTTCGTCAGTGGCAGATGGCCGCACACCAACATGGACTCTGCATTATGAACTACTGACTGATGATCAGCCAGTCATCACAGACCATCGAGATCTTAATTTAATCCATCAACGTCTGGAAAAGAATAAAAAATAATTTTTATTAAAACACTTTTATTGAGAATTATAGGTAGAACACTGCATGAATATTATATCATATTATCTAAATGTGTATATACATTTAAATCTGATTATGCTATAGAAGCTATTTCTCGAACCATTAAAAACATAAAATATTTCGATCAATCAATTTTAAATAATTTAAAATTTAAATAAAATATGATTTTTGATATCCGTGCATATTATACACGATTTGGTGAATTTTTTTTGGAACTCCAAGAAATTCAACATTTTAATCTTTCATAGGTGAACCCACGATGGTATAATACAACAACCTTGTTTTTTTTATAAAAATTACTATATCGTATAATATTAAATGAAAACGCAGTCAAACATTATCAGCTATTTATAAACGTACATTGTACCTAATATGAATTTTTTAAGTATTTGTAAAGACAAAACATGAAATGTTTTCACTTTTGGGCGCTCAAAGATAATTTTTTTTTAAATTTATTAATATAAATGTTTCAATACATCAAGTATTTTTACAGTACTTTTCCAATGTTTGTACAATGTTATAAAGTTAATTAATTAAGGTTTACAAATAAAGTTTACGGATACAAAAAATAAAATAAAAATGATGATTCCAATTTGAAAGTGGCCTTTAAATTTAATTAAAATATTTACAATTAGTTTAAAAAAAAACATAGCTTATATCTACGAGACGTTAGCTTTCTAGCTTATAGTACGAAAAYAAAAGTTAGGAACGTTTGGACAACTTATTAGATATACTGATAGCAAGACCCTATACACACTCGTTTTTCACACCAAACACCAGTACAACTTAGTCACACACAACTTATTTTCAGTTTCAAAAACAAAAAAAAACAAATCAATAGATAATAGCAAACATCAAACCAGAACAACAAAATACAATCATGGGTGCAACACACTATGATGAGATTAGAGCAGTTATTCAACAAAAGCAAATAAAACGAAAGATAATTCGACAAAACGAGAAATTAAAATCCAATGTGAAGATATAAATCGAGGACCAWGAATCAACACATAATTATGCCAACATACTCCGGTAAATACAAAGATAGTAATCCAAAAACATATCTGGGGTGGATAAGTATTTCATTAAAAAACAAGAATAAAAATACTACAAATTAATACAAGTTTAACACAGCGTACTAGTCGTGAAATATTCAATTAAAAAAAATGCAACCAGCCGTTAACGAGACGAAAAATATAAAATCATATCGAACATATTTCGGACAATGTATAGACAAAGACATTTGAATTCACTTAAAGTTACCAAGACAGAAATAATCGAATTAATAATTAGACATTATCATGAAAATATTCAAGTAGCACCGATAAGCTTTCCAAAAAAAAAAAAAAAACGTACAACGCAGTACATCACAGTGCTTAATTTTAAAAAATAATACAAATGCGTTTCATAAAATATTTTATTAAATCATATTTGCGCTACCCGACTTTTTTTTATCACGTTTCTCACACTACTTTTTCATTTAAAAAGTAGGATGTTATAAATAAAAATATTTATTTTTAAATTCACAATCAGTTTATAACGACTAATGAGTCAGTTTAGTAACATTAATTATTATAAGTATATTAACAAAAAGTYAAAAAGTGTTTATAAAACAGTCTCGCCGAACCTCATCACACGGAGGCCATGACCTTTTTATCAATGTAATAATAGCCATAAATTATATTTTTAATAATTGAATACTGAATGTTACAAAAACAGCCATATCCCCCTGGCTCATTTGAGCACCACTGGTACGAAAAAAAAAAACTGCTGTACAATTATTAAATTGTTTGCGAACCGCATAATCGAGGAAATTTATTCCGGCGCTTCACTTTTCTTATGTCACTTCCGCCGTCTATCGGAYCCGTAGCTCGCAGGTTCCGGGTTGTCTTTTACCTGGTTGTGCCCATGATATCCAAATAACGCCTGCGACATCCGTTTCCGACCCGATGACTTGCAGCCATGTCGTCGTCACTTAACGAATTTCGTACGCGTGTCGTTTGATCGTGTCACTTGGCGGGAAAAAATTTAACACTTTTCAGCTGAATTTTGTTTTTTCGTTTTGTTGTCTTGAGATGATTTCAAATAAAATTATAAAACCTAATTAGTTGATGGTTGTCTACGAATTTCTTACATAATGATATATGCGCGATCATCTTACCTCAACACAAAGGCTCACGCCGAACTGTAGGACTGCAGTGTTACCAATGTTGAATTAAATTCTATATTTAAATTAAATGTCTACAAGTTGACTACCATGATATTTTTTATGTGTAGAGATTTACATTTACTACCTGACGCCATGACATTTTTTTTATAAGTTTACTTAAATACAGTTTTGACGATAATATTTGTTTAAAAAAAAAAAAATAAAAACTAATAATAATATTTGCAAACTATTATTGAGACTCGATTTCTGTTAGACCTCAAATCGAATCTCAAAAGCAGATTTCATTAAATTGGGAAGTCCGTGACAGACAACTTGTTAAGTAATGTTTTATCCGCACGATTGCGATGATTTGTTCTTCGTCGTACCCCAATGAATATTATTAATATATTATTATATTTTTTTCCTGGCTTTCAAAGAAACGCCAATTGTTTGTAAACAACAATAAATTAAATTGTAAGTGTTACTCTGAATATAAAGTATGTGAGTTCGTAAAATTTGTATACATGTATATAATGTATAATAATATAGTATTTACGAATATATTCTGCTTTCAACTTGTTTGCAGAATTTTTATCACAGATAAAATACAACTACAAGAGCAACATTTTTAGAACTCGTTCGATATTTTTCAACAGCAAACGCGAATAATCAAAGGTTATAGGTACCATAACATATATTTTTCTTTTTTCATTTTCACCAAATGTCGAAACGAATTTGGACAGCAAAAACTTAAATCTAACTTTGCGGACAACGTAATTCTACCTAAACGGATTTATATTGCTGTGTATCGAAATTCGAAACGAACGAAAGTTTTTCAATGAACCCCATTAACCATTTACCAGCAATTCTGTTTAAGTACTTTTATATTAATTTAATTTATTTATAAGTATAWAGTTTAATGGTAGAACAACATGCCGGTAGGGGTATACAAAGATTATGTTACGCAATGGAACACATTATAATTATTATTATTATTATTATTATTAATATGAATATTACTTKGTGGGCTTTGCCCTATGGAGATTAGATGTGATTAATATAAAAATGTACGGATTAATATCACTGCATACTATAATGTACCTATTATTATCAATCATTCAATACATTTCTATGGTAATTAAAAATTGTGAATTCACCGCCGATTGAAACAATACCATATGAGGTTCAATTTATGATATATACCGTTTTATGGTCGTGTTGTACACTTTTACGTACCAACAGAGAAATTTTAACTCCGAGTTTATWGGAACGACTAAAATACACGAATTAAGAGGACGCTACACAACCATTTTGTTGTCTCCGTCTTACAAGTGCATAACATTGCAAATTTACGCTCAGAAGATCACGTTTAGCTCCGTCAGTTTAAAAATTAGAGTGAATCGACCTAATATGAAACTTGATGTTAAGAACGATATCTGTGTTTGTATGTGAGTTTTTTACGATAGTTTAATTTTGTAGCAAGTTATGCGTGTATTAAAGTACTCGTAATTCACTTAAAAACTAAGCTATCGTAATAAAAAAAAAAACACATACAAACACAGATAATGTTCTTAGCATCAAGTTTCATAGTAGGTCAATTCGCTCTAATTTTTAAACTAACGGAATTAAACGTGATCTGCTAAGCGTAAATTTGTTATATTACGCACTTGTAAGACGGAGACACCAAATATTTGTGTAACGTCCTCTTAAATGATGTTTCAATAGGTTACCTACAGTAGATGTTAAATTTTCAAATGAACCCGCCCATTGAGTACTTTCCTTTGTTACGTTATTATGAAATGTTTACGACAATGATTTCTCGATGACAATATATCATAGGCGATATACATAGTACATTTGAATGTATACTTACTGTGTGTATATAGAATRACATCATCAATGCTAGTACAAATTGATAATATAACCAATGATCAAACGTTTTTCATAAAATATGAAAACATTCTATCGGTAATGTATCTATGTAAAAGTTGTTTTTTTTTTTTTTTTTTACTTTACCAATTGATTTAAAACAATTAATTTGCGAACTTAAGTAAATCATTAATATATTTATTTCATCATTAAAATTTTTAAGTAGAGTTATCGGAAAAAAACTAATACATAACAGATAATAATAATAATAATATTATGGTTGTTCTATTATATTTATGGTACTTATGCCGGATAAGTAATGCATTATTATTAAATTCAGTTGATTCGTACCCTAAACATATTCTATACCTCAGTGCATTTATAATTTTGCAACAGTATACTTGGCTACGGTCATATAATGATGTGGAAAACTTGTATAATGAATGATGATGTTTATTGTATTTGAATTCATTTCAACAGTACATTTGTATTATAAATACCTAGGTCCTATTTATAGGTATTTAAAACGCCTTTAAAATAAATGTATGTCGTTCTCGCTATATATATAGAAATATTACGAAGTTATAAACAACATTTTCACACGCTACAAAAATAAATCTTAAATTATGTCATAAATGGAAAAAAAAAGGTAACATAATACTAGTTTTAGTACTTCATTAGTTTTAAAGATTAAAATATACCTATATAATTTATGTGTATAAAAATKATTGTACGTTTATATATGGGGCTTATAGACTTGGAAATTACTGAACCAATAGTCACCAAATTTTATACAGATATTCATTGAAAAACTTGCAGGAGTGTTCATAGTTATTATTTTTAATTCTATAAGGTTATCATAGGGTGGTTCACACATTTTCATTTTGGCTCACAAAAAGTGAATGTTTTTGTTATGTTTAATTATTGAGTAACCATTGGT